CCGGGGAGAGGGAGCCTGGGCTCAAGTCTCCCTCTGACTCCAAAACCCACACACCCTCACAGCAGACACACACGCCATCGGAAGGTTCACCGGGGCCTCCCTGGGCGCAGGGGCGAGTCCCGGAGCTGTCAAGCTACCGCAGCACCACGCCCGAGTCCGACCCGGCCAGGGCTGACCCCAGGGCGCGGCAGACCCTCCTGCCTGCCCGCTGCCCCCTCAGCAGTGGGTGTCGGTGGACCCGCCTGTTCTGCTGCCCGCTCTGACCTTGGGGAGCCCGCTGAACCCCCAGCTCTGGCCAACACCGCAGGCCTCGCGTGCATAAATGAAAGAAAGCCCTAAACAAACATTCGTGCGGACACTCGTCCGTCCGGGCGGGCCCCCCGCAAGGAGTCCGCAGGAAAACTTCCTCAGGTTCTCCTTCCTGCTGGCAGTGTCCGGATGCCAGGGCCGTTCTCACAGCCACACCGCCACCTCGGCCGCAGCAGCGGGGCAGCGGCAGCCACGGCCTCGTCACGGGGTCGGCAACGGAGGGCCGGCCGGGCGGACGACGTCCAGGCGCGACCACGCTGCACGTCCACGCGCTCACCAGAGCCGCCCGCAGCACCTGCGTGCTGGTCCCCGCGGCCGTCTTTACCCCCTCCCATGGGGTCAGCTGCAAGCCTCGGGAAGGTCCTGTGGGGGGCCAGGGCGTGGGCTGGGAGCCAAGAGCTGGCAAGAAAAGGGCAAGTGACCATCCTCTCCTGACACCAACATTTGCCAGGCGGCAGCGTGGTGCCACAGGCTGGCTGGTCACGCAGTCACTCAGGTCACGCTCGGCGCTCGCGCGGCACAAAGCCACATGCACGTCGGCTCCAGCGTACGCCCTGGAGAAGCGTGTGATTTTAGCACCGGCCAGGGGTCCCCACCCCTCGTGCGGCCACCTGGGGTCCCCCGTGGGCCCCCCGGAGTCAGGAATCAGGGCGCCTTGAGCTGAGTTTCGGGCCAAGCAACGGCAAACCTAGGACCAGGGCGCGCACCACGCCGGCGGGGTAACCCCCATGGGTCCGCTTGCGCGGGCGCGCACCCCAGTCCCGTGGCGTCAGCTGTGTCAGCGGGGAGAGCCCCCAGGACTTACTGCCGGCCTCCGCGGTTCTCCGGGCAGCTGCGGCGGGTAGACGATTTTGTTCTTCTTCTCCCACCTCCGGGAAGTGTCCAGAGAGGAGCTGGTGTGGACGTGCAGGCAGGGGCCAGCACCGCCAGGTGACAGGGGCCTGTGGACAGCAGGCGCGTGGTCACTGTGTGAGGCCCAGGCCTGGCCACACACCCAGCTTGCTGGGTGCTCCTGGAGGAGCGAGAGGAGGTACCCCGACGCGCTCAGGCGAGACTGCTGTCCAGGACAGGTCAGGAGGCCAGGAGAGCAGGCGGCCCGACGTGCGCCCTCGGCCAGCTGGCCCGACACAGGCCCGGCGCCGGGCCGGCCCTGGAGGTGGCTGGACAAACGGGCCAACTCTCCAGCCCCAAGCGTGACCGGGAAGGGGCAGCGTGCGCCTCCTGGGCTGGCCGGAGCGCCCGCCCGAGGGGCCAGCCCAGAGACAGACCGGGCTCGGCCAGCCCAGCCTGGCGCGGACGTCCGGGCGCTGGGCCAGGGGAAGGCGGCGCTCTCCAAGCGCACTCACCGGCGGGGCCCACGCTCGCTGGCGCTCGGCGCCTGTTAGGACACGCGCCCGCTCGCCCCCAAGTCCTCAGGCCTCGGCCCACTGCCCGCGCTGCGCCCTGGCACCCTCCTGGAGGGGCGCCTTGCCCACTCACTCCCCTGGCCCGGGCCCCCCAGGTTCACGAGGCTCCCGCACCGCAACTCCGGCTGCCACTCGGCAGGGAGCTGCCGACTCCTCACGCTGGACACACTGACCCGAGGGGCCACCGGCTTGCCCCGGCCGCTCCCTCCTGTCACTCGCTGCCTTCCGTGTGTCCAGCACCCCCATCCGCTGTCCGGGAAGGGGCCTGCCCTCCTGTGGACGGCTTCCTAGTGCGGCTGTCTCTGCGAGGGGCGTTGCCCCACCGTGACCGGGTCCCCCACCCTGCGCGTCCCCCGACTCCACATCGTACTTGACTCGCGCTGGCTCCTGCCCACGTGGCTGCACACCTGAGGGCAGGTGCTGCTGCTTTCGCCTCACACCCCAGGCCGGGCAGCAGCTGGCGGCGGCAAAGGGGACAGTCAGGGGACAGTGAGCCGGCTGGGCCAGGCCAGGGCACACGGGGGACTTAGTGCAGCGCGAGGGCGCCCCCTGGTGGGCAGCGGCCGGCGCCGCGCTGCAGCCTGGAGACCCGCCGGGGGACCTCTGGCTCCCCACGCCCGCACACCCCTCCGGCCTCGGGCTGCCTCCGGAGCATTCACTTTCAGTGCAACAGCCTGCTCTGCGCCCCTCCCCCCTGCACCTCTGGCCTGTACCCCGTTCTGTATGCGTAAGTAAACCTTTTTGAAAAAAATGTAGCTCTAAACGGCATACTAGTTTCGGGTATAGACATGAGGAGGTTTATGCACCCCTGAAAGATGTTCACCGCCCTGAGGTCATTACCACAGTCACAATCCTCTCCCTCTGCTGGGAATTTTTTCTTTTAAAGATTTATTTATTTGTGCACACAGAGCTGGGGTACAGGCCAGAGGTGCAGGGGCAGTGAGAGGATTCACCACAGAGCGGGGAGCAGAACAGGCAGACTGAGGAAGCACAGGAGAGGTCTGCCGCGCCCTGTGGTCACCTCCGGGGCAGGCGGGGATCGAACTCATGCCGAAGCGGCTTGAGCTTCTCAGTGCTGGGCTCTGACCCGCTGCGCAGCCAGGGAGGGCCCCGCTGGGAACTTGTAAATGATCCCAGCGACTTCCGACAGGAAGCACAGTGTGCCCCTGAGCCCCAAGCTCTGCCCCTGGCGACTACCAAGCTGTGCTCTGTATTTATCAGGCCGGTTTTTACTTTTTGTACAAGGACGGGGGTGCAGTGTTCCCCACATCCCCAGTACAAGCGAGGTCAAACAGCGCGAAGCCTGTGTGCGGCTTCCCTCGCACGGCCCTGGGCTCGCCCTCTCCAGCTCACCGCCGTCAGCACTCCCGCCCATGCGCCCAAGCCGCTTCGGCATCTCCCAGCCGGCTTTTCTTGGGGACACTTCCTTCGCTGCACAGCCGCCAGCAGCACCTCGAAACGTCTCTGCTGGTCCTTCAGTTTCTAAGCCGCTGAAGCGTACGCTCCGCCCTTTACACAGAAGCTGTGAAACCATGCTGTCGGGACGCCCCTCCGCCAAACCCCCGGCTGCGACTCTGCCCTCTGCCCTCCCGCAGCACAAGGGCTGCCTGACGAGCGTCTCTGGGCCGAGATCCCAGATCTGCCGTGCACGACACGCATGCAGCCTTCAGTAAGACACAACACGTGGCGGGACACTGGGGCCCAGGCTCCATCCCTCGGTGCGGAGGGCGGCTTACGCCTGCCATGGGCAGCGGCAGCAGGAAAGCTGTGTTTGCGTTCCCCCTTAGCCGCGGCGGGTGGGGAGGAAAGTGCTCCGCTGAGTGGCACAGGCCCTGCCGGTTCACTTCCACTGCCTCTCTGGCCCCCCGCGTGCAGTTGTACTTTCAGTCGGTGCCTGAGAAGACCTGCAGGACTCCCACGGTCGTCACGAGCGTTATTTGTCTTTCGAGGAAGTCTCCACTGCTCACTTCCCCACCAACTGTCCAGACTAGGGGTTCCTGACATCATGTAACTTCAGAGCCGGAAAGGTGTTAGCTTGGGCATAACAGAGCTGTGCCACCGCGCGGGTGGCAGACTGAAACAGCCACTTCAGTTGTTTGCGCCGAAGTTCCTAGTGGAAGCTGGTGCAGGACAATTTCTAACTTTTTATCGAGTGACTCCTGGTTCACCTGGTTTTTGTGTTTCAGAGGTCTAGGACCTTCCCTGTCAGGCGGTGCTGTCACTCCACACCCACCCTCAGTGCAGCCCAGCCCGTCCCCACAGTGGTGCGAAAACCTGGGGGAGGATCTGAGCAAGGCTCGGACAGGGCTACACAGTATGAAAGGCAAGAAGTAAGAGGACCAGCATGGCTGAGTGGAGTGACAGGAGAGAATTTAAGGAAGCAGGTGTACAAAGGTCCTGTTTTCTTCTTTATCCCCAATCTAGACCCCAGGACAGAGCCAAAGGCAACAGGAGTGGACAAGACAGTCATGGCGGCTAGGCCCTGCGCGGCCACTGCACGCCACCGCCGTCCTGACCACCTCCCAGGAGCATGTCATTGGCGCAGTCTGTGAGGTTGTTGCTGTCATGCTCATGTCATACAAGGGAACCTGGGCTTACAAAGGCCGGATAGCTTCCCCCAGCGCGTAACTAACGGGAGTCACACCCGACTTATCTGTCTCCCAAACCTGTGAACTAAAGCAGAACACAGGTCAGCAAATGCACCAGTCAAAACCCTGACGGGTTCCCGGGCGCTCAGTCAGGTCGGCCGCGGAGCTGCAGAGAGAGGCTGCAGGGCCGGGAGGGGCGCGGCGACCCTCCCGCACGTCCGCGCCGGCTGCGGGCCCCCTCCCAGATCGCTTCTGCCGGGAGGTCTAAGAATGCCCAGAGGGTACGCTGCGGGCCCCCAAACTCCCTTGGCTGAACCTGCACGGGGGCGCCCACCCTCGAGGGCCGCGAGCAGCGGCTGCTGCGCGGGGGCGCCCACCGCGTTCGGGGAGGTCGGGAGACTGCCCACGGCAGGCGCCAGGTAATCCTGATCCCCTGGGGTCGAGCACCACGGTGGCGGGACGAGGGGCGCCCGGGCCGGCTCTG